TCTTTCCCTGGTATGCATAAGAAGTGACATGCAAATTTTGAGGCTTTTAATTTTTGATACTGCCTCAAATGATCTGAATAAACTTGATTTTCATGAGACGCACAAATCCATTTGTTGCTAGTAATTGTCTGCTAAAAAAATAAAGCAGAGTCATGAATAACTCAACCTTTGCTTCTTTTTGTACATGTATATAAAATGTACACCTGCATCTTTCATACCTATTAGCAAATTAAGATGAGCAGTAGGGAGAGTATGTGTATAGAGAATTCAAGTTGTTTCCTTTGTGTTGTCACTATCACAAAAGGTTTGCAGAGAGGATGGGTAAGATGTGCCTTAAGGTTTATTATGAAAGCTCAACACGAGTTTTTGCTATCCAAAGATGCCAAAATAGCCCATCTACCTATAGCAAATAGCAAAGGATGTAAATGAAAGAAGGGGAAGCATTAACTCAGTGTACAGTTTTCTCTATTGTCGCTTCAAGACTTGGATCTAAATTTTGTGAGTCTATAGAAAGTGCAGGCTCAGTTTATTTGAACGGTTTTTGAATTACAGTTTGTTTTCTTAATGCTATGAAAATAATCATTGCTCTGGTACATTTTTCAAGGACAGCCTTCTAGCTTTTATAAAGCAGAGTAACTGCACAGGGACATAAATAATCTCAGAACAGAAGTGGGTTCCTCAGAGAAGACAGTACAGACAGGACGATGGGCTTAGGACTTGGAAAAGCAGCATGCTTTTTGCCAGTTCTTACTTGCACCTTGATTTCTGGTTAATCTTTGTGTCTGTTATCCTCTCCCTTGTTACAGCTGCAGCTCTATACAAAAGCAAGAGCTGGGAGAAGGCTCCAGCTCTATAGCTACGCCAAGCAGTTGTACCAAGGCAGTGGCAGCAGTGTGGTGTGCCATACTCTAAGACCTGTGCTTTTAAAACATTGAAAAAGGCATTAGAGCAAGCTTCTGTGTTCTTAGTTAGGAATTAAGGTCCTACTGTAGTAAATGTTGCCAATAAGCTGTGTGTATAAACAACCTAGCATATAACAACTTTTTACTGACAAGATTTCAAAACCTGCCTGCAATGCTGTGGAACCAAATGATTCTTCTATTTCTGAAACTGTGTTTTAAAGACAAGTGAGAGCCTGACACTGGTACTCTGTACACTGTTTCTTTAAATAGACGTAACTAACCAGCTGATTAGAAAATGGCTTCATCCTGGAGGGTAGTCAAGTTTCCAGTTCCAGCCAGTCTATAGCAACAGGGAGTGTTCAGGTAGTTGGTCTTGCTCAGGCTGTGATTTCTCTGTATGCCACCCCTGAGCCCAGACTTGCTTCTTTAATGACATGAGGCCAATTACATAGCTGTTGCCTTTAACAGTCCACAATGTGATGAGAAGAGTGCATTGGATCGAGGCATTGCAGCAAATTAAGGCTATTGTCCCACTTGCAGTACTTTTCTGCAGGAGCAGGAAGCCTAGTACTTGGGAAACATGGGCTCTGATCGGGAGAGATTTGCTTACCTTCTTTCCGTGCTCGAGGAGGGTGGAGGGGCCAGCACGGCTTGCTGCTTTTGCTGCTTTACAACTCCAAGCGGGTCTTCAAGGGCTGATGATTCCCCAGCTCCTGCGGCAGGACTAAGCCTGGAATCATCGGTGTGTGGCTTTAATAAACAGGCAACGCTGCACCCAGGTAACCTTTAAACCTGCATTGCAACAGGTTCAAAGGTAAAAAAAAAAATTATTCCTGATCAAATATAAAGAGCAATTTTGGCTGGTTAGAAATGTTAAACATACAACTCTTGCGCAACAGCTTTGGAAGAGAGTAGCACGTTGTGAAAGCTAACGCCAGCCCTGTGAAAGCTGCACACTTGGGTTCTTAATAGGACTCTCATTTACTCTGAGTACGCATGAGGCACTGAGTAAGTCCACTGAGAAAAGGTGCCTCTTAGATTGCACTTTGGGCAAGCAAACATATTCTGTATTTTTCCCTACTGCTTTGCGTAGGAGCCTCTCCTTAATCACATCTGAGTGCTGAGGCATGGGTTTCCTTTGCATCTCAAGGGGTCCACGAAGTAGCATGCTCCTTTATGGTCGGGGCTCTCAGTGCAGTTGGCATGTATGGGGGGCTGGTTATCTTATCATGATGCACCTTCTCTTTTGAATGTGTGCAAAGGGTATTGCACTTGCTGGACTGGCAAGTAGGCTAAGCCTGCTTGGTCAGAGATTTCTTGTGTTAAGGGATTGATTTTTTTTTTTTTTGTCTTCCCCCATCTATGAAATGGGGGTAATAGAGCTGCTGTGCTTAATGCTGCTTGAGAAACCTGACCTCACAGCTGAGTCTATGCAGCCTGGGCTGGCAGGTGGAGCTTCTCAGCTTCACTGCCAAAGGCTGTGGATGTGATCTTTGGAAGAAGTGTGCTCCTCATGATCCAAGAGATAAGGCTAAATACCAAAGTCCTTTCAGTGCTCGCTTAATACTATCAGGACTAGTCAAGATCATGAAGCTTTTTCTGTTTTGACTGGTGCTGGAATTAGACTCCTGTATGATACTTGAAGAGTAAACCAATAGTAACACTTTTCATGTGAGATCATAAGTGTTCTTGATTGGGGTGAGGGGACTTGCCTGTATCAGTGGACATGAATAAAAGTGGAAACACCTGTGCCAACACTTAATTATCCTAGAGCTTCTGATTGCAATCTCCTCCAAGTTTTTAGAAAATGTCAGTTTGAGGAGGATGAAAGAAAATGAGTGGGACTGTTCCAGACTTGGTGTAAAGAGATGATACTAGTGCGTGAGTCTCTTGGCTCCAGTCTGTGGTGCATCTTGCATGTGGGAAACAAAGCAGTCATTTGTCATTTAATGCTGTTAGGAGGTATTCAATACATACTAATAATTAGTAGTTGGGCAGGTCCCCGTTCAGTGTAAGTGGATGTTGCCTCACTGCCTCAAAAAGAGCTAGAGTGACTGACACCGTCTGTGGTTTTGGCTTCCAGATGCATCTTATGTACTGATGTGGGGGGGAAGTGTCACGGAGTCACTTAAGGAGGAAACAAAGCCAATTACCTGAGTGAGTTGCATGTGTAAAGCTGTAACTGCTTTTCTTCCTCAGCCCCTTCTCCCTAGTGTATAAAGTATATGGCTTTTTACCTCTTTTGAACAGCAAATTAATTCAAGTTGGGGTGTTTTGTCACCTTTTGCCTATATAGTTGCTTACCGATGAATGAAGACTATTGATTAGTTCAGGATTAAAAACAGTTCTGGGAGACCTAAGCAACTCTGCGCAGTGAGCGTGTGATC